TTTTTTTTTTTTTTTGATAGACTCTCACTGTCACTTGTGCTTAAAAATTGGTTTAAAATGATGTGTCAATGAATCATTGGTGGACAACAAGGTGGACAGTCAATTTTTTATTCAAGTCGTACATTTTTTAGCATAACTGATAAGGTTTTCTTACCAGTCTCCCGTACATTTTATTGTAATCGATAATATAACAACAGTTAGAAATTCACCTTTACAATCGGTTTGTAAAGAAAGGGTGCGTAAAGTGTGTATAAATCCACGAGGCAGGCATTTCGTGAACGATGTGTGATACTGATATATGCATTTTACCCTTCTTGAGGATCGATGTTCATAGTAGTACAATTTTTTTTTTTGTTGGGTGATTACATATAACTGGTCTTCTAATAGCTCTTCCAGGTTGCTCTGTCTTTTGAGATAATGTGTTTACTCTGATTATTAACATAACCATCACTTTAGATAAAATTCACCCTTAAAATCGACTTATAAAAACAGGATGATTGTATTACATCGAAGTGTTTGATTTTGCATTTCCTGTGGGAGGCCATTAGATCTTTTTCTGGAAGGAAAAAATTAATAGCAAAATCGAACAGTAATAAGAGCTTGCACATTTCTCACTAAGGAAAATCGAATTTGTCTATTAATTTTTACCTGTCTCATCATATATATGAAATCATGATCACAATAAATCAGGGCCCTTGGTTACGCTAACCTGTTCATCAACGAGTTGGTACATCTGGTCACGCACCTTGTACATTGAATATTCAATTTTTGGCACAAATCAAAATTGATAAACCTTTTAACTAGATTTTATCATAAAAATTTACAGTGATGCATTTAAATTTGGCTCTTCTCCATTATGAATCATTTTTAATAGAATTATTTACTTCTAGAAAATTCACTTTAATAAATAAATTTAAAAATGAATTTTTGGTGCTAATTTTATCTAGGGATGGCAACAGGACGGGACGGGGCGGGGATGCCTTCCCCGTGCCCCGCCCCGTTAAGAAATTCATT